TCTTGGTGTAGTCTTTTGGTCCAAGGACTGCATGTATCATATATGCATAAACCTTCAAGTATGTATCTTTTTTATACCACGAGTCCACATAGTCCTCAACTCTATACCTCCTATCTGCAATGCAAGCCCATGCATGATGACAAGGATACCCATTTAATTGAAACAGTCCACATGTGCATGTTCTGGTAGCTAGGTCCACGACATATCTGTCATTATGAATATCCACTTCAAATTCTTCTTGTCCATGCCATCTTGGAAAACAATTTCTTGCAAGTTGTTGAGACTTGTTGATCTTTTTCAAGATATTAGGACAGATAGACCCTTCATACTTCTCCATTCCAGCCTTTTTTGTTTGAATTTTGCTTGTCAATCTACTTCTGATCCACTCAAACATGCTAATGATAGGCTTCTCTCTAGCCTCAACAATGTAGCTATTGAAGGATTCACACAGATTGTTTACTAACACATCTGTCTTGCAGCTTCTTGAGAAATAAGATATGGCCCAATGACATGGAGGAATTTTTCTTAAATATTATGCTGCAACTTTATCAAACCTGCCAATCTCCACCATAACTGCTTCAAACTCATTCTTGTTGCATGTGGAAGCAGCTCTCCATAACATTGTTTTCAGCTCCAAAGCTGACCATTTTTGCTTGAAATTCTGGTAGATGTGCCTCACACAAAACCTGTGATCACAACCAGGGGCAACATCTTTAATAGCTTCAAGAAGACCTTTTTGCCTGTCAGAAATGAAGGTCCATTTCGTTTCTTCAACACCTCCAATTTCTTCTAGCAACTCACCCAAAAACCATGTCCAGGATTCTGTGTTCTCAACTGGAACCACAGCTAGAGAAATTGGAAAAAGGTTATCATTCCCATCCTTCCCAACAACACAAAGGAGCTGCCCTCCATGTGGTGTTTTCAAAAAATAGCCATCTAATCCAATTAGTGGCCTGCATCTTGCAAGAAATCCCAACCTCATTGGGGGAAGGCTGAAATACATCCTCTCAAAGATTGGAGGATCTGAATAAAGAATCTTTCTCAGCAATAACTTAGCACCAGGGTTTCTAGCTCTAACAGTTTCACAGTAATCCCACATGAGACTGTATTCTTGAGCATCTTGTCCCCTTATTTTGTTGAGTGCATCTTTTTTTGCTCTCAAAGTCTTCCAATAGCCAGCTTCTACACCCACCTTTCTCATCACTGAGTTTCCAAGTTTGCAAATTTCAACATCTGGATTGTCTTTAATGGAGTCTCCCATTCTCCTTCCAATATATTTTGTACTAGCATGCTTGTTAATTCTTTTCCTTGAACAGGTGTGTTCTCCAGTTAGTTTCTTGATCTACAATAAATAAATCAAAAATACTTAATTAAAAAATAATACATAATAAATAAGTACATAAATATTACAAAAAAAAAAAAAAAAACAGAAACCAAGAAACCATAATATAAAATAGAATAGTACACAAAAATATAATATTTAAATACCTGAAATATTGGACCACCTTGTACAGCAGATGCATGGATTCTCCAACTACATCCTTTTTCTTTGCATTCTGCAGTTACCCTTTTCCTTTCATTTTTCAAAAATTCAAGTTCATACCCATTTCTCACTAACCAATCTGTGAGAGCCTCTCTAAATGCATCAACATTTGAAAATTTCATCAACTCTTCTAAATTTTTATTCTTCATACTCTGTCCTTCACTGAATATAGGGCATTTGGCTTTAGTTGAGTCATTCAGATTCTCAATAGTATCATCATCTTCTGCCTCACTGTACCATTGGGTTGTAGATGGTTGCACTGCACATTTCTACAACCTTCTAGCTGGTCTTTTGGATTTCTTGCCCATTCTTTTCAACTTCTTGATCAAGTCTTGCTTACTGAACTGTCTATTCAAAAAAATGTCATCATCTGAAGACCCCTCGATGTCTTCTAACTCTTCACTTGGAGCATCAGAATGTACATCAACATCATATGAACAATCATCTTCATGCTGAATGTAGTCACCATCATCTGAATCATCATCCTCAGAAAACACCACATCATCATTTCTGGTATCTTCATTTCTTGGTTCTTCTGTTGGTTGTTGTTCATTTCTTGGTACTTCAGCAAACACATCTTCAGGTGTTGGTTCTTCAGTGGTTAGGAATTCAGCAAAAATCTCTTCAAGTGTTGGTTCTTCAGGCTGTACTTCTTCAGCTGCTGCTTCTTCATGATGTAGTTCTTCACTTGTTCGTTCTTCATGTTGTACTTCTTCACTAGTTGGTTCTTCAGGATGAGGTTCTTCAGGCTGAGGTTGTGCAGTTGTTGAGTCTTCATCAACTGTATCTTCATCACCATTCCGCAAATAAAGAATTTCTTTCCTCTTTTCAATTACATTCCCATCCTTATCAACTGCAATGATTGGCTCTATGTCTACATCTTCAGTGTAAAGTGTCAACTGGTCCAGTTCTTCATGAACATTCACCAACCATGCAATACTTACATCATCTATAATGTACTTGAGCCCATGTTCAAGTGATTGCCCAGGGTACAAGAAGTGAAAGTTGACATTCACTTTTTTACCTCCACATGCTTTGTACATATCATACAGTAACTGCCTGTTCAAGTGGTCCAAGCAAATCTTTCCAGCCACTACATTTCTCCCTCCAACATAACACAATTCAGGATTATATACGAAAACCCCATCCAACCATACAGATATTTCGCACAACAGGTTCCTCTGCATAAATAATAAAACTTTAAGTGAAAAAACTCTACAATAGTTAATAAAAAAAAAAAAAAAAAAAACAAACAGGAAACCCTAAAAATCTCAACTGTAAAAAAAGAAATGCAGACAATGTCTGGACAAAAATCATAAACAAAAATTTGAATAAAAAAATTAAAAAATTGAAACCCCCAAAAAATAAGACCCCACATGTCTCTTGAAGATATATACAACATATACCCTACATAAAACAATAATATCAAAAAATGGACCACTAATTCACAATCCCCAAAAGATCCAGACAATGTCTCGACAACAACCCACATTCTCGAAAAAAATACATAAAGTTTGGACTCCAACCTACAACTCCCCCAAAAAAAACGAAAAACCTCAGAAACTTAAACCCTACTATTTTAATACAAATGTCTGGACCACAACCCACAACTCCCCAAAAACTTCATACCTCTTTAATCGAAATTTCACAGTCGTCTTCACATCTTTCTTCGAGAATCTTTAAATAGAAGGCATTTGGGAGAGTATTTCGATCGAAATTGAGTTTGGAGTTTAGGGTTTTTTTTCTCTTCGATTTGGGATTGAATTTGGGGGAGGTGGATATTTTTGGTTTTGAGAACACGTACACTACAAGAAAAAATGGTTTTAGAGACGATTTGTTATGGTTGCTAAAAGCAAGATAATGGTCGCTGAAACTTATAACGACCAAATTAGGCTTGGTCACTTGTGGTCACAACAGGGTGGCTACTAAAAGTATTAGTGACCAGCAAATCAGTTGGACGCTAAAGACATAGATCTAGCGACCATTCAATAATGGTCATTAAAGATGTAATTATCAGCGACAAATTTTTTACTCGCTAATGTTAAAATTTATGGTCGCTATAATATTAATATGGTTGCTATAGGTATACATACAGTAACCACATATTTTTGGTTGATAAATGATATTCTTTTAACAACCGAGTACGTGGTTACAATAGATTTTATATGGTCACAAACCTAACGTATTTTAGTGACCACGTTGCGACCAATAAATTCGTTTCTCAATATAATAATTTAACTACAAGAATAGTTGGTTGCAATAAATTTTAATTTGTCACAAATATACCCCAATTGTTTGCATATAATAACCAAAAATAACAATTAATAATTCTTATTTGCAAAACAATCAAATAATGAACAAAAACAATTGTTTATTGCTACTAATGACAAAAACCAAATAATAATTGTTAGGAAAAAAAATTGAATTGATAGCTGGTTACTACATATTAGTAGGGCTGTGCATGAATCGGTTTTAACCACCAACCAACCTATTTTCGACCCACAATTTGTGATGGTTAATCAACCATCACCCGACCCATTTAAGTTGGGTCGATAATGTCAACCAACCCATGTATAGTTGGGTCGATAATGGTTTCTAATATGCTAAAAAGTTGGTTAGTCGGTTATTATCGGCCAACCAACTTTATTCATTAATTTATTATTTATTAATTTTAATTAAAATATTTAATACTTTTAATTTCAAATTTTTATTTTATATCACATTTATTAAATTATCTAATATTGACCAAAATCCTAAAAGCAGTAAATATAACCTAATTATCTAATTTGAACTATTTTAATTTTAAGATATATAGTCTAAATATTTGAACGATTATTATTTGTTGAACTATTTATGTTTAATTGCAATATATATGACCGTAATGTTTTGAATCTTTTATTTGAATATTGTTGAACTAGCGTTGTAACAAGTAATAAAATATTAAAAAAAATTAAAAAAATATTTAGATGGATGACCCATCAACCAAACCACCAACCAACCCATTAAATTGGTTTTCAACCATCACCCAACCCATGTAAATTGGGTCGATAACGGTTTCCAATATTTACCAAAGTTGGTTGGATGGGTTGGGTTGGTTTTATGGCTGGTTTTTAACCAAACCAACCAACGCACAACCCTACATATTAGCACATAACTAATTAATTGTTGACAAGTGAATTAAATCAGTGATCAATCTAATCTATATACAGTAGCAACCAAAGAAACCAAACACTGCCTCGCCGATTAAATTGAACTTAAAACCGCTGACAACATTCACATCTGGAACTTGATTGAAGTAATATCATTAGCTTCAACTGCCTCTGCCTCTCTACGGGTACCTGAAATTGGGTGCCTGGAATTGGATGCCACAGAGAATTAGAAGATATACATGCAATTGTTTTCCCAATGTAGTGATCATATAAGCAACAAGGAAAATCTTATGTAATGAATTGATTTACCTTATCAGTAGAGCCACCAACTAAACTTTAGCCTCAACTGCAAATTTAGCATTTATAAGTTATAACCTACATAAGAGATGAAAACAGGGATTCAAGTTTATGAGAAACCAAGTCCAATGAATTTATCATAAGGAAACATGAAATCAAATATGCATATGATGCACCAGTTTACCTTGTTTAAATGACCACTGAGAGAAGTCACTACCTGACCTTGTGGAATGTAAAACAATACAACTTGTCAATCATATCCAGCAATGGCAGACAATTACATATACTGACTTAATTATAGAAGAGCAATAAAATTACTAGCATAAATGTAAACTTCGATTTTTCAGCTGTATGTAAGATATAAACACATACCTATTAATCAAGTGCAAGACAAGAGAATTAGCGGACACTTGAGAGTGGATAACCACTTGAGCCTCATGACTCCACACTTTCTCATCAATTAAGAATTCAATTTTCAGTCATTTGTAATGATAAAATAAATTTAAAATGGGTATAAATATAGAGAACTTACATTATTTCATAATTTCTGATTAGAAGATTTGGGATTTTCATAAACCTGAGAACTCATGAAGAATTTGTGCTTTAGTGGGCTGCAACAAGGCCAACCGGGGCTCGAGAGGCGACGCCCGTTTCCCCCTTTGAACAGAGCATAAAACTCAATTAAAAAGGGCAAAATTTAGAACATCCTTAAACTTCTCCATGCAATCTACGACTTTTAAGAAGAAACTGTTCTCAAGTTCTAATTCCAAACCCCCCAAATTCTGTTCCGAAAACAGGTGCGGCAGAAGGTTTATTATTTCGGAAATTTCACCATACAACTGTCGAATTAAAATTGGCTTTTTACAATTGACTAAATTTGGGGAAAATTTTATATTCCTATAATATCTAATATGTTCTACAACTTTTGTGAAGAAACAATATTTAAATTCGAAGTCTAAATACCTCAAATCGACTCCTAAAAATTCAGCAGCAGACTGGACTTCTCGCCAGATTCAGACAACTACCGTCGGAGAAAACCGCCGGCAACCACCACAAACATCACGATTAAGTCTCAAGATTTTGACGGTTGGTCCCAATCGTCGACATTCCATTGATAAAACCTTGTAGCACTCTCTTCGAAGAATCAATTTGGGGGTTTTTTGTTTAATCTCAATTCCTCAAACCTAAACCTAAACAGGATTTACTAAGAATCCTTTTATAGAATTCGATTTTGCCATCAATTTATGTGATTCCATCCTAGAATCAGTAGAGAGAAAGAGAGAGAGCGAGCAGACGAGAGAGATAGTGAGAGAGTGAGAGACGAGTTTGGGAGAAAGGGATATGAATCCGTCGTCATAATCCCTTGCCTTTATTCTTTTCATTTTTCTTTTCTTTATTATTTGTTTGTTTATATAAACATAAATAATATAATTGATCATCTTACACAATTTGGCCATATATTCAATTTGGCCACATATGAATATATATATATATATTTATGTCGATATATAAATTAGGACTCAAATTTAATATATATATATATATATATATATATATATATATATATATATATATATATATAAAGGCTCGAAATCAAAATTGAAATAAATGAAAATACGGGGTGTTACAGTGATAGATCGATTGGAATTAGGATTTTTCATTTATTAGTTAGTTTAAATAAATTTTGAAATTTTGAAATGGTTGATATTAGAATATTATTAACAACCAAAATAATTGGTTGTTAATGATCACTTATAAAAATTATAGCAACCATCAATTATTTTGTTAATAAATTGGTCACTAATAACATTATTTACTGGGACCATTAAATAAAGGTCGCTGAAAAGTAGATATTTGGTCACTATATAACTAATCAACCCTCAATAAATTATAGTGACCATTTATAGCTACCAAAAATTACTTGGCTGCAAAAAAACTAAGAAAATTGACTATTGTAACCAAATTATTTTTGGTGGTTATATGTATATATTTAGCGACCATTTTCTTATCATCACTGAAAAATTGGTCTCTAAAGCTAGTTTTTCTTGTAGTGGTAGCAGGTGTTTTGAGTTTTGGGTTTTTTTTTTAATTTTTTTACATTAGGGGTAATATAGTCTTTTTACCTTAGTCAACAGCCAAATGATGAATAGGTGGCCGTGTGCAATGCCAAACACAATATAGGGGGCTTTGTGCTAATATTTATAATACAGGGGGTATTCGCCAATTAGAAATAACACAGGGGGTCATTGCTATTAGCTCCTAATTTTTGTTTTATATCTTCATGAGATCCATTAGGATTGTTTTTCAAACAGTTTCTCATAAAAATTAAAAGCCCCCTCACTTTCGCAAATAAAGAAGAGCTAGGATTATACACATATATAAGGGCTCATCAATGTAAATTACCTTGTCTCACCGTTGTATATTATGAAATTAATGAGCATCTTATCTTACGACATCCAATCCTATTTCAAGGAAATCTATTGTAATAAATAATTCACGTCAGAAAAAAATATTTAGCATAAACTGAATATTATACATACACATAGACACACATACAAGAAATGGCCAAACTCCATTGTATCTTCAGTGTTTTGCTAGTAATTTTTCTTATGATAATTAAGGTTACAAGTATCAATGACATAACCTTGGTTCAAGACCCTAAATCCCCCAGCTTTTTGTCACGTTGTTCGAGTATAACCAACTTCATTTTACATATCCAAACTTTATCCTATATTCTACAAACCAAATGAAAGATGTTGTGCTTATGCTAAAAAGACTGATCTAGTATTCTTTTGCAAGAGATTGATGACAAAGTATGATCTGATATATAAGCCTACTAAAGTGGTGGACCTTGGAATATATTGTCGCAATCGACTTCCGAAGGGTACAAAATGTGGAAGTAAGTTTTTCGTTAATAGGCTTTCGTATTATTACAATTATTTGAACCTATTTAATTCGTTCATAAATAATAGGGTAAACTTCAATTTACCTACCTGAACTATACTCAAGGTGTAAAATACCCCTTCAACTTCAAAACGTACCAAAATAGCCCTTGTGGATTTTGGGTCAACGTTAAAAGACGGCAGAAAAGTAACACCGTTAGTTTTTAAGTGTTTTGACATTTTTGTCCTCCAACCTTTTCTTCTTCTGTTTTTTTCTTCATCTCCTTCCGCTTCTTTCTTTTCTTTTCCTGCTCTGAATATTTTTTAGACAAACCCAGAAATTTCTTCATCAATTTAAAAATCTCAGAACCTTCAAATTTTTCTTCCTCAAATTAAGAATCTCAGAATTTATTTTTCTTCCAATTGCTAGCAACTTCATACTCCATCCAAAAAGAAACTAAGAATCTCAAACCTTCAATTCTACCCACAGTCCCATACAATCCACCAAATTAAATCTCGAATTTTGCTTCGAAAGTCCATAGAGTAACCACAAGTGACTAGGCAGTGGAAAGAATCGATGGCGGCCTTGGCTGTGAAAAGGGGCGGCGGAGACGGTGGTGGTGGCTGAGCAGGAAAAGAGGCGGCGATGGAGTTTCTTCCGATCAGCTTCATCGGGCCGCACACACGACGGAGTTTCCTCTTCTTCTTTAATTTTCTCTGTTAAAATCGATTTTCTCTAGGTTTAAACTTTGTTGAAATAGATTTAAAATTGATGATGGGGAGGATTGAGGAAAGCATTTTGGTGGCCTATACAATGAAATGAGGCCTTTTTTTTCCAACCGGCGAAGAATAGGTGTAGAGGTGACGGAGTAGTGCAGAAGTTCTTTTTGGAGAAATTGCAATCAAGTCCTTATTTAATTTCAGAAATTTAATATAAATTGCAACTTGGCCTCTATTGAGTTTTTGCAATTATTTACTCATAAACATATATATTCAACAGAGGTTAAATTAGTCAAAAAAATAGAACAGCTGGAATAAAGGTAGTAATTAAAAAAGTCAACACGCCACATTAGCAATGGTGGACGGATACTTAACGGAGGGGTTGTTTTGGTTCATTTTGAAGTTCAGGGGGGTATTTTACACCTTGGGTATAGTTCAGGTAGATAAATTGAAGTTTACCCTAAATAATATATGATTCACTGTGCATGTTATTAAATAGGTAAAATAGTTGAGACATTTATTTATTACCAGTGTAATTGCATAATTCATAGAAACCATGCTACATTTAGAAAATTGTTATTACTATCGGATAATAACTATAGAAATTTGATACAAACTATTTTAGATAAAGATAATAACCGTTTAAGATTTAACTACGATAGCTAACTGAATAAAGCTAGTGAAAGTCGTTGTTTAATTAATTAGTTGAAAAAATAATCATAAATAGAAGTCAATTTGGAATACTCAATAGTTTTAAAATTATTTTATAAATAAGTGATAATGAAGATTTGATTAGTTTTAGTAAAGTATTATAAAATGAGAGTGGAATAGGTCAAAATAAAAATAAGTTTACAATACAAAATGGTAAAAATAATAAAAGGGATAGTTTTGACATTTATGTTCTCTAATGCAGATATTACAGCGTGGTGATGAAGCGGATGAATTATTCACAAATTCTTCTCAGGAATCCACCAAGAAAGGACATGTAGTTTAAAAATTGTTATTATAATAATTAATAAATAATTAGACAATCATTTGTAACAGGTGATAGTACATATCTCTTCTTGTCATTTTTTTTTTTTTTTTTTTTTTTAATAATGTCTTCTTGCCTTTAATTACTCTTGCATATTTATCTTTTGTACTGTTAATAGAAAATAAAACTTGTTATGGTAAAATAACGCGTATCATATCAAATAGTCATACAAATGTGTCAACATAATTTTCGGTATATAATTTAAAGGACAAAATGCACTTCACCCCCTAGAAATTTCTAGTTTTTGCACATTCCACCATATAAATTTAAAACTGAGATTCTCCCTCTTCCAAATTTTGTTATAGTTGCACTCTACCCTCAAATGGGACTTTCCGCCGTATTTTTCACTGTTTTTTCATATCTCCGTCAACTTGAAGGGCATTTTTGTCATTTTACCAATCCCACCCAAATACTATAATTGCTCTGGTACCGGTACAATTCCGGCCAATTTATTATGCATAAACATCTCTCTCAGAAGGAGTGGCCCAACTCTATTGGCCCCGCCGTCGAAATCTGCACTTCATTCTTTCCACAGTGCGCTGGTGGCCACATGTAAATCTCCGAGAAGCTTAATGAGGCACGCAATTTCATGCCGGCCACCGCCATTTGGGTTGTAATGCCAGCAGTGCTGACCACATTCGTTTCGGACAGCACATTCTAAATGCTCCATGCATGTGACCACTCCCGATGGCGGCGCGGCAACACCCCCTCATCCTCCGAGGCAGCCCAAATGTGCGTGTTCGCCAACCCCCACGGCGACGACGCCGGAGGAAACACGGTGCAGGCGCCACTGCATTTTATGCCGAGGTTCAATTACCGGCAACTTCGATTTCCAAGGCAAAAGATCCAATCCATTGCAGCTTCGATCGATATTGATGCAGTAGCAAATACAAAGCCCATCTCAGCATCTAGGATTTTAACAATATTAATAATTGGGTGAAATTGGTGAAAGAACAAAATTGCCTTTCAAGTTGACATATATATGAAAAATCCAGTGAAAAATACTTCGGAAAATCCCATTTGGGGCAAAGTGCAACTATCACAAACTTTGGAAAGGGGGAGGGTCTCATTTTTTAATTTCTAAGGGGCAAAGTGCGAAAAGTAAAAATTTCTAGGGGCGAAGTGCATTTTATCCTAATTTAAATGAGTAATATTTCACTAATCATCTTATAAACGAGGGGCTCCTTGATCCAATGGTGAGACCAGGAATTTGTTACGGGTGGACTTAAATTTCGGGGGTTCGGGGCTAACGCAGTGAAAAAAATTTAGGACTTTCTTGTGACAAATACATAAAATCGGAAAATAACAAATAAAAAAGAAACAAAATTAAGAGATTTTTTTTCATATATTTATATTTTGGGTGGGCTAATTTAAAAAAAAAAATTGGGTGAGCTAAATAGATATATATCTATAATATAGGGAAAATTATAAAATGACAGTGGGCTTGAGTCCACCCTTGACTACCCCTACTTTGATCTCACCTCCTCATATAACTTAGTAATAGGGATAAGTCAATTTTAAACCCAAGAAATCCCCTTCACTTGCAAACTCCAAACATGTTCCCAAAAATATTCATTCGAAAATTTAAAAAAAAAAAGATGTATCTCTCCCAAAAATAACCCCACCCAGATCTCATGATCACTTCCCAAAATATCTGAAAAATGTCACGATATATTATGTTTGGAATATATTAGGGATGTTTGGTTATGTTTCCAATCGAAATTTCTAGTTTTCAAAATTTCTGATGGAAAAAGTAGATTATTGGTTTTTGTGTAGAAAATGAGAATATGTTTGGATGAAGGGGTATTTTTAGTTTTATGTAGATGTAGAAATGGGAATATGTTTGGTTTTGGTGAATTTTCTCTACGAAAGTACGTGCAAAAGTAGAATATAATGATTGAGGATGATGATAGTGATTATTATTATTATTATTATTATTATTATTATTATTATTATTATTATTATTATTATTATTATTATTATTATTATTATTATTATTATTATTATTATTATTATTATTATTATCATATATTAATTTTGTTTTCGGTATTATTGTTTTGTTATTATTATTATTATTGTTTATATTCTTATATTATTATAACTATTATAATTATTATTATTTTATTATTTATTAATTAGTATTGTTATATTATTATTATATTATTATTATTATTATTATTATTATTATTATTATTATTATTATTATTATTATTAGAAAGAGAAATTGGGATGAGAAAGAGTGTAGATATTAACGAGGAGAGAGAAATGAGAGGAGAAAGAGAGTGTAAATATTAATGAGGAGTGATGAATAGAAGGAGAGAGAAATGAGTTGGTGGAATAAAATATATAGGTTAGCTAGAGCAACTCCAATGGAGAAACATCAAAATGGAGCATTAAACATTCATTTGATACTTGATATAATACTTTGATACTTCTAGGGAAAAAAATTCACTCCAACCACAAGTATCAAATAGATTATCAAATTTTAAATATATGAATAATTATAGAGTAAAAAGCAGTTTACCCCCTAAACTATGGCTCGTTTTGCACTTTGCCCCCTAAACAAAAAAAAATTGCACGTTCTTACCTGAACTCGTTAATTCATTGAAAGGAATATTCCGACAATTTTGACCGGAATATTACAACACGTGTGTTGCACATGAGATTTTCAGGGGCAAATTTGTCCATTCACTAACATTCTATATTTTAATCATTAAAAAATAAACATAAAAAAAAATAGAAAAAGAAAAGAAAAAGAAAGAAAAAAGGAGTTGTCATCCCGTCGACCACCACCCTCACAAAGCCAACCCATCCCTAAACAGCCCCAAATAGGGATCGCACAAATCCCTAATGGAGGAAGCGAAAATTGATAGGTTAATGGAGTGGTTACATGTTTGATACCTCATTTTGTAGGGAGTATTTTTGCACCTCGGGGTGGTTGAATATCAAAACAGATCTTACTTTAATGCCTCCATTGGAAGAGGATTTTTTAATTTTGAAGCATCAAAGTGGTAGTTTTTTAGTTTGATACCCCATTTAGTTCCTCCATTGCAGTTGCTCTTAGTAGGTTTTGGTAGGTTTGAAAATTGAAAAAAGTATGAATAGTGTATATCCAATGGAAATTTGAGAAGAAAAAATGGGATTTTCTGGATAAAATTATTAAACAAACATGATCTCAATTTTATGAATAGTATAAAACTAGAAATGAGTTTTGGAAATGAAAACAAACATCCCCATTATTTTTCAAATCTTTTTTTCTTTTTCACTCAAGTGAGGCTGCGTATGAAAGCTTCTTAATTTGGATTTTCAAAAAATGGAAAGGAGAAGGAATAACACTTCCATTGGTTTTTGTTTTTTTTTTTCTGGACATGTTTTGCATTATTATTCACATTTAAAGAAAAACCAATTCTTCAAGACACTCTTATTATATACTCTTACAACAATTGAGTTATTGTTGTCAAATAGAATTAAACATTCTCAATTAAACAATTCTTCAAAACACTCTTCTCAAGTGAAGTTATAGCCAGAAACGGAGTCAAACTCATATGTAATAATTAATTTTTCTTTTGTTGTGAAGTAATAATATATATGGATGTGCGATTAATCAAGTCCATACATAATTCAATTTACGTTGATTGGTTCATTGGGGCATCAACTAAAGTTTCATGTTTTTTTCTATAGTTGGACACTAATTACAATACATAAAAGCTCTTATAAATTATGAATATGCAGTATGATCAAATACACCAAAAGGTGCAAGTAAAAATAATAAATAAAAATTGATTAGAATAAAGATCTAAACTTATGTCTGGAAATTTTGGAAAAGTTGTCATTTCAATTGTACCAACTTTTCTTTTCTTTTTAACTAAAATTTTCAAGTGAGTTATTGTAATTAGTTTATTAAGAATGTACCACACTTGGCATGCATGTTTTTACCTTATTCTTTTGCATGTCCAACCATAATAAAAGGAAAGAAAGAGGACGCTAGGAATAGATTTTTATAAAGCAAAAGGAAACACATAAAAGACATATGAAAAGTGAAACAAACGGGTCTAATATAAATTATAAAGTAAACTAACAAGTAATAAAAATCAGCATAGTTGTCTTTGTCACCAACAAGGAGTGCACAATAATTGACTATTTTCCAATTTCATTTCTTTCGATTGATAAAGCAGTTATCACAGGAGGAAAAATTGGTGGATTCCCTAGAACTAGACCACCAACGTCTGGAAATAATTCGTGTCCAGGCAAGGGGTTTACGCTTCCATCAACTCCGATTTCAATCGGATATTTGAGAATATGCCCTTGTAATTGATTATACTCATCAGCTGTGTATCTCTTCCAGTTATCTTCGGCAACATTATTTATGTACCTTACACACTCTAAATTCTCATGATATTTGAAGCAATTCTCAATACAACCAAGGTGTTCTGCCCAAAGTGACATTCTATATCCATATATCTGCACGTAGTCACATATCTCATTTTAAAAGGATGATTTATAATTTGAGCTCATATCAGGGTAGATGAGTTTTGCAAAACAATTCATCCTTAAGGTGTGGCAAATCGTTTGAATTCTTTCTTGCATGTGTCTTATAATCATAGTAGGCTACAATAGTTTAACATCTTCGGAGATTCTCTCTTTTTTTTCTTTTTCTCGGATCAAATTTAAAAAGTCAAATAAGATGCAAAAAGGAGCTAACCTGGCCACATGGATGTTCCTTCTTTCTAGTACAGGTGTAATGGGGTTGATAAGCGCCCATTGCAATTTTTGTATCTCTATGACCAGCCATAGACCGTTGGTTTATATTGGCCGAACCAATTATCACATATTCATCATCCACTACCATTCCCTTGGAATGTACATAGATCATAAATCGATCATATTTTTCTGAAGTTGAATCCTGCCATTATCAGTCGTGCTTCAATTAAATGTTGTCCAATAAATAGATTGAAACTGTAAGTATCTAAATTTGGAAATATATTAAGTTGTGTGAACCAAAAAATTCGGAAAGTTGAGGGTCTAATTTTTTTTCTTGATGTTCAAACATGTATGACATTCTCCTTGAATTAATTGTAGCATCGCTGATTTTTTAAGAAAATAAGTGTACCGATATACATATCTTTTAGGTGTAATAAGGGTTCGATGTAAAAAAAGTTGCATGATGTGAAGATTAATTAGTAGACATTTAGTATAAAACTGTTTCATCACAAGATCAATTTGTGTGTGAACCTAAGTCTTATGCATTACACTAATTGAGCAATGAACATGAAAAATATGTATAAAAACCTTATGCCAAGAGAATATATAAAACGGAAGGACACTTACAGTATATACACTTACACTAGATGATTCTTCTCTATGGCGTTCCTCTCGATTGCCAAGACAGTAGAAATTCAAATAGTCGCTTGGATGTGCGTTCTCAAAATTAGCAGACTTGAGCTCTTGAGAGATAATTTGATACATCATTTGTATTGTTTGCCCCTACAGTAGTGAACAATTAAAAAATCAGTGCACCAAAATGAAGATTTCTTAAAAGTAGACACGTTAGAAATTTGTTACAGTCATTATCCGTTAGGAATTCTACTAATCTGTTACAATTAGTAATACGTAATTTTTATAAAATTCATAAATGTTAAAGCTTATTTATAACGGTAGCTATGTTGTTAGTAATAAATTATAAACTTTGTAACAAATTATTTCTATTAAATTTCCAAATCAATCCAATAACACAGAGTCTCTTGTACTTGTTTCATTCCCCACCTTTTTCATCGTCGCTCAAAACTTCAACTCTCTCTCTCTCTCCCACATATGGTAATCATAAAAGTGAAAGATGCTAGGAACGAAGTAAATGGAGAATAGATGTTAATCATAAAAGTGAAAGATGGTTGCAATAAATTTTAGGGGAAAATTGACGACGTCATCGATGAACAAACTCTTCACAAAGGTACATAAACAATGATTAAATTCAATTTCATCTTTTTTTGTTGCTACTTATTATCTCAAAATGAAATAGGTAAAATCAAAATCTTCATCATCTTCTTATTCCACTTTGAATTTTTTTTTCCTTAAGATCTTGAGCAGCTAGGAGTGGAGATTTTTTATTCAGTAGAGTCTACATGATCATGAGTATCCAGGAGTGGAGATTTTTTTACAGTACCAAAACACATGAGGAAATCTAAGTTCTAAGTTCAAGCACAAGAGTGTCGTGGAGTTTATGTACTCTTTCCTAGTTAGTTTACATGGATATTTTTAGTATTTGGTTAATATTAGTGGATGAATATCATGTAACGGCTGATGGTCTAGATATTTTTTATAATTGAGTTAATTAATATGAACATCCATCATTTTCATACTTTGGGTTGAACTTGAGTGATGGAAAATATATTGTAGTGAACTTTGATCAAAATAGTTTTGTTTTATTATTTAAAGTTATTTTTATAAATATTTTTTAATATTTACACAAAAAAATATTAGCGGATATATCTTTCAGGAATTTAACAAAAAGTGTTGCAAACCAAACAGTTAGAAGGTGATTTCTAACAGATGCAACCGCTAGAACTAATTATTAATGGTATTTTTAATTTTATTAACAGTTTCATCCATTAGAATATTATGGCTTGGAATTTCTCACGCAGTATTTCTAACTTTTTTGCTCCATTGGAAAATTATTTCTAAGGGATATAACTGTAGAAAAGTGTCTTTTTGGTCTAGTGAATAATAATGTAGTAGCTAAAAAGTAATGAATCAATTAGTTCTTCAAACATGCTTTAATTTTAAAAGATTAATGACCACAAAATCGATAACCTTCTTATTTTAAACTGAAATATTACCTGCCAATAAAGGATTGCTCGTACAGAGTCGGAATCGGGTTCGCCTTCCGGCCACATTGGGATAACAACATAAACACTAAATCTCTCTTTCGTCCTTATTTTACTAACAATTTTTAGTGCCAGTTCCATTGGGATTAAGTTATTAGCACCTGGCAAAATCAATTATGAAACATTCAAGTAACATAACTGCATAGGACAAAAATTTAACCAAAAGAAAGTTGTTGCGCTAAAATACTAATAACTATTTTGGTCTTTAAATCGTATAACTCCTCCAAAATTAGGCCAAAATAAAAATTTACGCCAAATATTTAAACATCTCTTGTTAGTAATATGTATTAGCTAGCAACCTACCTGAAGCCAGTTATTTATTCAAATTTTATGGCGGTTAAAAGAGAATGATCTAACTGTTTCTTCAAGAGATTATTTAAACCATATACTCTCTTTCTTAAAACAATTTATATCATATATCCCAGTAGATTTCAAATCACTTAATACAAGACGAATACATGGGTGCATTATTTGAATAATCATATGACAATAAATAATTTTAGAGGCAACCTACCCGCTTTTCTTTTAGAGGTCCAACCGAAAGATGATCCAATGAAATATTGATTTTCAATGAATATGAAACGTTGAGCGCATCGTATTGCCTGGATGTAGGCCATTTGAATGCTCCTGTCTATTGCGCATTTTTTTTCAAACACAAGTCGAGTCAACATATATATATATATATATATATATATATATATATATATATATATATGGAGGTTTAATAAAGGTGAAAGCTTTTAGTTACTTGTTCCTTTGCTGCAAGGACATTTCTTGGAAACCCTACCACCGATTCTGAATCCACAGACCGAAAAATCTATTCAAATCAAATAACACACAAGATCAAGTTTTTATGACCCAATTTTGAATAGAGAATATTTCTACATTAGTAAGACATGCATTACCTGAATATGCCAGTTTTCAAGATCATCTTCCTTGGAAGCCCACAATGATGGGTGGTCATTGGGAATGGTTCCTGAAGGACTGGATATTTGTGAAATTTGTTCTATGTCAACTAAATTATAATCATCCCGTCCTAATATTTTTTTGCAAAACCGTGTAAACTCAGAGCACTCAGTGGCTTTTTTCCACCGTTGCTCGAAGTTCTTGAGCACATCGTAAGCAGCTGGACCTTCAATTTTGCAATGTAAATCATGCCACGGTTGTCTTGGGCCATTTTCTCTTTGCTATTGAGAAATAAAATAAAAAATTTATGTGAAAACTTACACCACATGCATATTCAAATATAACTTAATGGGTTTGGTTTATTAACATGTTTGTTACCGCTTTTGATGCAAAATCATAAAATGGTATTGGCAATAACATCCACATTAATGCTAGATTTTAATTTCTTTTATTTCCAACGAAGTGGAACAAAACACAAGAACGGAAGCAAGAAAGTGTATTCCCTTTTAATGGGGAAGTTCATGAGTAAATTATTCGCGAATTAGAATAAGAAAGTGTATTCCCTTTCAATTGGGACAGGCATGAGTAAACTATTCGAGAATGAAAATTCACATATCCAGAAGTGCATGAGTAAGTTATTCAAGAATGAAAATGCACATAATAAGTTATTAAGTTACATGATGAAACTTTCAGCTTTTAAATTCATCCTTAAGATACTATAAGATATTGTTGCGAATTTGTTTAAGTAGAAAAAAGAGCGATGATAGTTCTTAGACCATAACACCCAATCGTTTTATTTATTATCTACATATTATAAGACTTAGGAAGTTTTTCACAATCCTCTCATATTCTTATCACCAATCATATTTCTTTAACCAAGTGCATTTTTATAAGCATGAAGAATTGATGCAAGAGATTTAAATGAAGAAGTGGCTTACACGGAATATAGGATTATGATAGTCATCCTTAAAGAGAGTGTTGAGGTCATCGTATAATTGATGATCTGGTGTATCATATCGCCCATCACAAAGGTCCAAACCACCAAGGAATGCAGTTATTTTTCGATTATTTTCATGTCCTTTGGTGTCTGTTATCACACATTTCTGATGTTGACTGTAGAATATTCGACAAACCTAAACAGATGATGAAAAGTACAAATGATCATCGTCCAAGGTTTTTCAGAAAATCAACCAAAATTCGAAATTATTAAGGCAATAGTTTAGTGGAATTAATTTGCATAAAGTAAATTGTAAAGCATGCCTGCGGTATGACATTGTTAATTCTGTAACGAGCATCCAACACACAAGTGATAGGGGAGTGCTTGAAAAAATTTCGAGTTTCTTTGTCATGAGTTTTCATCAATCCTCCCTGTATTAGAATAGTTCAACCATATATCATCAAATAATCTACAACAATAGCTTCTACGTACATATTACAACAAAATGTAACAATTGAAAATCAATTTCTTACGGTTTTAATAAAGCAATTGTCATGTGAAGTCTTATCATCCCAAATGAGTAGTACAACTCTCACCCCTTGTTGAGACTTATACTTGAGCAACTCACCTAAATTCAAGTCTCCACCATTCGGCAGTTGTTTACTATCCTCCCTCGCGAGCCTCACCTTGTGGTATATAGACCATCCAATCACATATATCAAATTATGTGCCTCCCATATTGTATGACATATATCCTCCCAACATTTGTTTTGCTCAAATTTCCTTCCATAATCCAACCCAATTTCGGGTAGCCTCCCATCAATCACGTGTGCGTCTTGATAAAGAGTTAATTTTCCTCCGTGTCGCATGGGAAAGTAACTACGTTTTACTGAATAGTCTTCAGAGATTCCACTCGTGTAACTTGGATTTATGTCACAAGGAGTGAATGTGATTTGCAATCTTATTGCAGTATAAGTCCCATTAGATCCTACCACTGGAAACCATTCATCTATTAGATCGCCTATAGCAATTCTCTTTGCCGGAACAAAGGCACCAATTTCCTTTTTGGATATATAAGTGTCAATAAGAGCAAATCTGACCTGTAATATCATTCAAATATTAGATTTTTTTTTTATCCGGTAACAATATTCTAATTTGAAGTTATTATGGCAAAGTAGTTTAAAAATATATATATATTCATAAATAGAAAATGATAACAACATATCTTGAATACTTTTTTTTAAACAAAATCCTCATTTTGAATTTCCAAGCCTCAAATCTCAATTAACATACATCAAAGACGTATGTCTTGCTATTCATGTTCTTCTTCATTAACGATATCCCCCAAAACTTCCTCTCCAAGCTCTGCTTTATCATGCGCCGCAGTCAAAGCCGACAAAGCCATCGCCCTCGACCCCAAGGAAGTAGGGCCGCGCATTCTCAAGGAGCTTGCGCTCGAGCTACTGTGGTTCAAGACATGGGCTCTCGATTCACTGGATGCGACGTTGTAGCTGCTGGGCGCTGAGCGATGAAGAGAGAGGGGACGCGCTGTTCGAGAGGGCAGAATTGAGGGTGGCGGGGGCGGTGGAAGACTTGGTGGATTCGGTTGATAGAAGATAATGCCAAAAGGTGTATGAGGTTTTGAGATTACGAGAATAAACGGTTGAAAGATGAGGCCCGAAACGCCTATGCCGATGCTCTTCGGGTCCAGCCCAATACATTTTGGTTGTGATAAATTGATCCGATTAAGATTGGAATGAATAGGGGTGTGAATTGGACGGATCATAAGAAAATTAGTTTTATTGGAAAATATCATTTATTCGGAAGTGAATACGAATCCCAATTTTGTTCCAAAAACAAATCGAAAATAATGAAAATCAAAATTCCGAAATTGGAATGGAAAATTTTATTCCAAAATAATAATAATAATAATAATAATAATAATAATAATAATAATAATAATAATAATAATAATAATAATAATAATAATAATAATAATAATAATAATAATAATAATAATAATAATAATAATAATAATAATAATAATAATAATAATAATAATAATAATAATAATAATAAATATATGGCTCTAATTTTCACCCCTATAAATGAAGAAATGCCCTTTTTTGTGATTTGTTTATTCTTGTAAATTCAATATTTTAATACATATAGAATATTTCTAAGTAGATGTTTAGGGTGGAAATTTTTTTTTTATATAAATAAAAAGGTCTGTCAATGTTTAGTGGTTGGCCCAAGTTTTGAAAAAAAGTGTATAGAACTAGTACTTTAAACCTAATGTGTTTGAAAACAGGGATAATTAGTGAAAAACCCCCAATTCATTTACTTATATTAAGGTGGATATAACCTCTTTTTCATTATTAGTGAAAACCCCCCACCTTATATTAAATAATATTTTTTTAATTAATATTATTTTACACATTACTAATATACCTAATTTGCCCTATTATATCTAAAATAATTAAACCTATTTCACGTTCTCTATTTCTCTTATTCTTCTCTCTCTTTTCTCTCTACATATCGGCCGCCTCCAACTCTCCTCCATCTGTGTTCTGCCACCGCCTCCAACCATCTTCAATCTCTGCGCCGCCATCGTTATTCTCTTCTCCCAACGGCGTTCCTCCCTCCACTGACGCGAAAAGAAGATGGTCTTCACCCCTGGGATTCTCTCGTCAAGGACGGCGTTAGGGTTTTCACTAGGGAGAAAGACGAGATTATGCAGCGGCGCTAGGGTTGATATTGCGTCTGAGATTTCAATACAGACCACCGCCCCATTGTTTCATTGTTGTTGTTCTTCTTCTTCTCTGATTTTTTTTTTGGAATCCAATTCTCGAATCTTAATTTTCTTAATTGGAGTTTTTCGTTGAATTCTTATATAGAAGGCTAATTTTGTGTTCAATCAATAGTATAATGTAGGTTTTGTTTTTGTTGAAATTGTGTGGTGTTATTTACAGATTTATAGATATTTTCGTACAACGATATAGTTGTTTTCGTACAGCAATATAGTTGTTTTCGTACAACAATATAGTTGTTTTCGTACAGCAATATAGTTGTTTTCGTCAGCAATATAGTTGTTTTTATTACTTTTTAGTTGAATGTAATAGTTGATTTTGATAAATGAGAGTTGTTGGAGATATATAGTTGTTTTAATCATATTGTTTTAATAACAGTTGTTTTAATAATAGTTGTTTTATTGAAATATAGTTGTTTTAAGTGAAGACAAAAAAATATAGTAAAAAAATATTTTTAAAAAATATAATAAAAAAGTTAAAAAAATATTTTTTTTAAATATTTTTTTTAAATAAAAAATAAATAAAAAAATTAAAATTAAAATTAAAATACAAAATAATAAAAAAATAAAAGTGAATCAAAGTAGTTTATAATAGGTAGTGAATAGAGGAAGGGTAAATTTGAGAATAAAAAAAGGATGGGTCTCCCACTAATAAAAAAAAAGGAGCTGGATCCATCATTATTAAAATAAAGGTGGAGGGGGTTCTCACTAATAGTCCCTTGAAAATAATTGATGCAAATTAAAAAAAAAGGAAAAAAAAATTACCAATATTTAGTGGTTAGATCAAAGTGATGTAGATTAATTTATAAAAATATTAAACCAAAATTATTTCTCCGTCCGCGGCTTCTTCAATTGACAAATTAAAGGATTCATATTTCAGACATACAAGTACAAAATAGAGAAAAATGGTGAAGGCAATATCAGAACACAGAAAAAAATAAGAGAAAAATGGTGGCGGCAACTCGACGATAATCACGATATATTACCGGAGAAACAAAGGACAGAGGCGATTTCACCGAGAAGAAACAACAAACAAGAGGCGGTTTTACTGAAGAGAAAACAACAAACGAGAAGCAATTTCACGGAGAAGAAACAAAATCAGATGTTCTTCAACATGGCGGGAGAAGTATTAACGGAGTGATTTTTTTCTTCTCTTTTATTATCAGATTTGGGAATATTTTTTTCTAGATACAACTATAAAATACACTAATTTGAAAAATAAAAAATAAACAAGGTAAAATGTATAAAATAATTATTACCTGATCCACAGGGTGAGCTAATGGAAGTTCAAAATGCTCGTTCCACATGGGATTTTGTGAGTCAGCTCGTACACGGGTGGTCTGAGCAACTCTAGCTTCTCCGAGATACACCTTAACGTAAGGGTGTCTTAACCGACGAAAATCCTCATACACAAACTCCGTGCTTGTAATGCGTCGAGCTTCGACAATCACAAGGTCCATATCTCCGTGAAGATATATTGTTTCGTTGTTTTCCATTTCACTACCTATATAATATACGTAAAATGAATTAAGCGGCAGAAGTAACAATGTGAGTTATATACGTATACGTATACAACTTAGTAATCAAAGAATGTTGTTGTAGGATTTCTTGAGACAGTGTGAAATGATATGTACTATTGAGTTGCAACAATTTTATATTTCGTCGTGTACACAAAAAGACAGAAGAACCCACTAACAAACACATGCATGTAAATATACTTTGTAAATTTCAAGTCCTAAAATTTAATTCGATAATTTATTGGATATGATTTACCTGGTCCACGTACGGGGTAAGCTATGCTTGATTGCTTGTTCCAAGAATTTGGATTGCTTCAAGTATGGCGGAGGATAATAACTAGAAGAGATGGATTTTCAATTTAAGATATATTGTGACCTTTAATTTATAGCTGAATATATGATTCTTATTAGGGTCAAATTCATTTTGCACCCCTATACTATGCAGAATGTATTATTTACCCCCTTAATGTATAGAAAACATCAAACACCCCCATGACTTTGGCCTTTTCCTCATTCGGTTAGTCAAACCCTTTGACCGACTATTGCAAAGAGTTGTTGGCTTTTTTTTACGAAAACACCTCGAAAAATCTTTATCCTTAGTTTTGGCCATTTTTCGTCAAAATTTTCACTCTTTTCAACCATTTTTTTTTTTACATTATTCAATCATTTTACACTCTTTTCAACATTTTTTTCTTACATTTCTGCATAAAAAACTGAAACATCGAATGAATAAAAATGAAGTTTTGCATATTTATGAATGCAAAACCCAAAAAAAAAAAGAAAACTGAAAATCTCTAAAATTTAAAAGAGAAATGAAATCCTAATTTGAAAGAATTGCAGCAAAGCTTTTCATATTATAATCGCAAAACCCCCCAAAAAAGAACAATGAAAACCCTAAAATCAAACACTAAAATATATCGCAAAAAAACCATAATTTGAACAAATACTAAAAATCGTCAACAATCCCAAAAAAAAAATGAAAATCCCTAAAATGTAAAAGAAACCCTTAAATTGAAATGAAATACTAATTTGAAAGAATTGTAACAAAGTTTTTCATATTATAATCGCAAAACCCCAAAAAAAGAAAAACTGAAAACCCTTAAATCAAACCTAAAATCGACAAAAATCCCGAATTTGAACGAACGCTTAAATAGTCAACAATCAACAAAAAATACACATCATTTTACTTAAAATCGTTTCATTAACCTTCTAATTTCATTGGATTAAATAACCCCCAAAAAATTCAATGTACCCAAGGGTTGAAAACCCCTAAGATCAAAATTCGTACCCTCAGGCCGAAAATTCATCCTTCTAATGGCTCATACAAGATTTCTTCAACAGATTTTCCGAAAACTGTGAGAATATAATAGAGATTTTGTAGGTTTTGTTTCTTTAAAAATTTAAACAAAGAAAGAGAAATCTAAGAGAGAGAGAATGAAACAATCTAGAAAAAAATGGGATTCTATCAGAAATAAGCAGGGTAAAAGAATCATTGCACACTTAAATTTAACACCGTTAAAAGTTTGACGATTGAGCCTAAAAAATAGGGAAGCATTTGATGTTTTCTATACATCAGGGGGTTAAATTATATCTTTTGCATAGTGCAGGGGTGCTAAATGAATATTACCCTTCTTATTATTATTTTTTCATGTCTTTTTTTTTTGTTTGTTTGAAAGTAGTCTTATTAGTCAAGATTGATGGAAACCAAACAAAATTTAACCAAAAGAATGCCTAGTGTTTTATGGAAATTTCTTCGAGTGGACGCAATCTGTGTTTGTTCTTTTGATAGGAAAGTAAAAGAAGAACAAATCACTTGCAATTTGTGTTTGCTCTTTTAATAGGATATTTAAAGAAGAAAGGAATCACTGCACACGCAAGGGCGGAACCAGGATAAAACTGTACGGGGGCTTATTAAAATTTCGGGGTTCGCGGCAGCGACCTGAAAAAAAAATCAGGACATTGCAAAGATAAATTTATATTGATATGTTTTAATTAAAATGTCATATAAATTACAATTTTATCGTATTTTAAGCATGACAAAAAAATCTAAATTAATTCAAATTATTCTAATAATGTATCGTACTTAATATTTTGGAGATTCATGGCATCGTCTCATATTAATTTTTAGAGTTACTGATAAAAAAAATTCAAAAATAAGTAAATATTCATAAATTTTATTTCAAATAATACAAGTTTTCACCATTTTATATATGTATAAATATGGAGAAGAAAAAAAAATAAGGATTAAGATACATATTTGCAAAAACTTAAGGGGAGCAAAATGTAATATTCAAAAAATACAATGTCAAAATACCTAAAAAAAATTAATCTTGGGGGGTCAACAGCCCCCGAGCCCCTTGTAAGTTCCGCCTATGTACACGCATACACATTGGAATCAATTGATTTGATGTTACATGAATTTCGAAATTAGGTGAAATTAAAGAAAAAGTGTGAATATCAAAGTTAAAGAGAGCTTTACTTTTTCTTCAGAAAAATTATAAGTTTTAGTAAGCATCTCTTTATGTAAAAATCAAATTGGGGAAAACTATTTGAATATATATACGGGACGGGTCGGTTCTAATAAGACCCGTAACCCTACACATAACCATTTAATTGGCCCAGACCCACCCCAAACGGATAAGTTCCGGGATTGAGATCTGCCAAACCCGTACCCATTGACCTTATTTTAAGTTTGTTAATCAATATATATATATATATATATATATATATATAATTTCGAATTTCATTTATCAAACTATGAATTTTCATCTTGTCTATTCTCATTTACTTATTTTCACTGTTTTATGTTTTTTAATTTCATCGTGAGTCATATTTATCACTTATCGACCACCGCTAATTGTCTTGCATTTTAAATTTTACTTATTATCTAAGTTAAATATAATTAAATACATAATTTTATTGTTCATTTTATATCACTTGTAGAGGTTTTTTAAAATATTGTATTTTAGTATTATTGAGATTATTTCGTAAAAATATACAAGCAAAATGTTATGAAAGTTAAGAAATATTAAACTTTTGTATGTTAACGGGTCTACCGAGTCTGGCATATTAGAACCGTTTAATTTGGGTCTTGGCGGGTCTGAGTCTAAGCTAAAACGGATTAAGACGAGTCTGGAGTTTATATATTTTTCGTGAGTCGGGTCTTGGGTTTATGCAAACCCCGCCCAGAATCGACACTTTGCTATTCCAACCAGTAATAATGACAATATGAAATTGCGTCTATAATGATTAATTACTGGTAAAAATATGATAATAAAAAAATATAATATAAGCATAGCTAATAAACGTAAAATGTACAAAAGTAAGACAATATGACATAAAATGTAAAATTTCTACTAATTGGAATTATAATTTATATATATATATATATATATATATATATATATATATGTTGGGGATCAAACAAAATATTTCATAAATTGTTACAAGGACTAATATTATATGCTACTTTTTAGTATTTGAGTTTACGCAGCATGCAAGTTTTCATTCACTTCATGGAGGGGCGGACTACAAGCTCTACATTATATAAAAACAATTGTTACAGATGTATTCTATTTTACTTCGTCCAACTCTCTAGAGTCTTATTTCATTTTTTAGCTTCCATCAATACTGCAATTAAAAATTACCGGTGCATGCACCAGAATGATGTAGAGGGATAATTTCAAATCCATAATAATAAATCTATCAAAAAAAATTTACCGGTGCATGCACCGTTAACCGCCGGGTCTCCGGCGTTGACTTTTTTTTTTTTTTTTTCTTAAAAAAATATTTTAATTAATTTTACTGTCTTAGCTACTAAATTACTGTCTCCGGCAGCTATTTAACTGTCGGAGACAGTAATTTAACTGTTAATTGACTGTTTTTTTTTTTCTTCAAAAATATTTTTAATTAATATTACTGTATTTGTTGCTAAATTACTGTCTCCAGCAGTTATTTAACTGTCGGAGACATTAATTTAACTGTTAATTGACTTTTTAATTCTTAAAAAAATTATTTTTAATTAATATTACTGTATTCGTTGCTAAATTACTGTCTCCAGCAGTTATTTAACTGTCGGAGACATTAATTTAACTGTTAATTGACTTTTTTTTTTTTTTCCTTAAAAAAAATTTATTTTAATTAATATTACTGTCTTGGATGTTAAATTACTGTCTCCAACGGTAATTTAACTGTCTTAGACAATAATATTAATAATATTACTGTTCGGAAAAATAATATTCATAATATTACTGTCCCAAACAGTAATATTACTGTCTGAGACAGTAATTTAGTAGTCAAGACAGTAATATTAATTAAAATATTTTTTTTCTAAGAAAAAAAAATTCAAAAAAAAAAAAAAAAAAAAAGTCAACCCCGGAGACAGGCGGTTGACCGGCCGGAAAAAAAAATCAGGAAAAAAAATTTTCAAAAAAAAAAATAAAAAAAAAAAAGTCAACGGCGGTCTCCGGCGGTCAACGCCGGAATCTGGCCGGAAAAAAAACAGTTCAGAAAAAAAATTATTTTTCTGGAAAAAAAAAAAGTTTTGGGGGTTAATATGATATATTTGTTTAAATCCGGAGTCAATGTGTAATATTAAGGAAGTTAGAGCATAATGGGTGGAATTGTTAAGAATTATATTATTGAGGGTATTTTAGACTAAAGACATGGGGATGGGCTTAATTGAGAGACTGTTTTTTTTGTGGACTAAAATGCATTTAAGTCCCATGTGATGGGTCTTTTTGCCATTTGCCCTTATATCAATCAACCACCTAATTTCTAAAAAAATGTAGGCAAATAAAAAAAATTGATTTTTTATTTTTTATTATTTTCGGACTTTATTCAGTATTTTTTTTATTATTATTTTTTTAATATTTTTTTTAATAGATTCTTTTATTTTTTTTAAACAAAAAATTGGGTTTTTTTTTTCTCGACAGGTTTACTACGCCGAATATGACCATAGTTGAATATGTGGTTTTAAACCGTAGATCTATATATAAAAACTACTCACTAAGCACACATACACATGAGTGTGCGTGTTATTATGTATAGATCTACGATTAAAAATCACATGGTGTATTTCACCGAGTGTACGTTGTACAAAGCCCAACAAGATGAAGAACCATTTTTTTTAGTTTAGATTTTTTTTATTATATTGAATATATATTTATATTAGAAATTAATATACTTATATTTTTCAATTTAGAAATATAAAATGTAAAAGTAATATGTCAAAAATTTATTTCAATTCATTTTATCATCCTTATAATTCAAAAAATTATTTATTTAGTGATAAATAAATAAAAATAATTATACTTTCAATGAAAAAATATTATAAAATACATTGTAAAAATTACCCTTATATATTTATTTTATTACTTTGACACTCCTGATTAAAAGTAACTATAAGGGCATTCAGTTCATTAAGAAAAAGTCAAAATAGTCAACTTTGGTGAAGAGGGTAAATGTGGAAGTTCTCTTATTTTTGTAGATGACATCATCAATTTCCATCAAAAATTTGAATGAATTTGAATGGAGGGACGAATAGAGTAAGCAGAGACATCTAAGTATCTAACAGTAACAGAGGATGTATGGGTAAACTTTTGGTTAGGAGGGATTGAGTCTGCAATTTCAATACTTACGAGGTAGGGCCGTAGGAGCTGCTGGGGTTCCAAATGAAATCAAACATTTTTTTTAATT